CTTAAACATATACACAGACTCCAAAGCAAAACAGATGCTATCAATTCTAAGTCTTATAGAAGTTAAACGAAATTTTCTTAGAAGCCATTTATAACCTTCATGGATTTTGGAAGTGGAGCCTATAGGGGAAAAAATAGTCACTTCAAGATACTCCCCTTTTCCTCAGCAGGTAATAACAATGACACTAATGGCTATTGGCTATTGTGTATGCATTACTGACTTGGGACTATGCTAACGACTTTAGATATTCTCCCATTGTTTCTCAGTGTCTTTAGAGGGATTAGGTCCTGTGACTTTACAACAAGGAACCCAACGTATAGAGAAGCAACACAGGTAGGAGCTAGAATTTAACTCCAGAAATTCTGAACCTCAGAAATTGTGTTCTTAACCTTGGTGTTAGGGTGCCTGCCGTAATTATGTCCACATAGGCCAGGTGTTTCCTAACGTTTCTTTTTAGATGCAGGTGGACTTTTGTCCAGAGCATAAAAAATAGCCCAGTAGAAGAGGTGTGGTAAAAGGAGTGGGTGTGGGTCGAGTCTGCAGGCTTGGTTCTTCTACCTCAACTTTCCACTACTCTCTATTACCTAGGGCTCCAAAGAATACAAAGGAGCACTGATAGATAGCATAGTGATTATGAGTTGGGCTGCTAACCTTAAGACCAGCAGTTCAAAATTACCAGCTGTTCCTTGGGAGAAAGATGAGGCTTTTTGCCCCCATAAAGATTTACAGCCTCGGAAACCCTATGCAGTTTCACTAAAGTTGCTATGAGTTGGAACCGACTCCATGGCACACTACCACCTAGAAATACATTTGGAGAATTACTGTTCTGATTAGACCCTTCTTTGACATCAGCTTCTCTTTTATTGTTGTTGTTGTTAGGTGCCATTGAGTCAGTACCGACACATAGTGACCCTATGCACAACAGAGTGAAACACTGCCTGGTCCTGGACCAACATCACAATTGCTGCCACGCTTGAGCCCATTGATGCTGCCACTTTGCCAATCCATCTCATGGGGGTCTTCCTTTTTTTCTTTGACCCTCCATCTTACCAAACATGATATCCTTCTCCAGTGACTGGTCCCTCCTGATAATATGTCCGAAGTACGAGAGACGAAATTTGGCCATCCTGGCCTCCAAGGAGTACTCTGGTTGCACTTCTTCCAACACAGAGATGTTTGTTATTTTAGCAGCCCATGGCACTTTCAACACCATAACTCAAAAGCGTCAATTCTTATATGGTCTTCCTTATTCACTGTACAGTTTTCGCATGCGTATGAGGTTATTGAAAATACCATGGCTTGGGTCAAGTACACCTTAGTCCTGAAGCTGACATCTTTGCTTTTCAACATTTAAAAAAGGGCTTGTGCAGCAGATTTGCCTAACACAACACGTCATCTGATTTCTTGACTGCTGCTTCCATGAGTGTTGATGGTTGACCTGTTGTTGTTGTTATTAGGTGCCATCTCTGTTGTTGTTGTTGTTGTTGTTAGGTACCATTGAGTCAGTGCCGACTCATAGCGACCTTATGCACAGCAGAATGAAACATTGCCTGATCCTGGGCCAACCTCACTACTGTTGCCATGCTTGAGTCCATTGATGCTGCCACTTGGCCAATCCATCCTCCTGGGGGCCTTTTTCTCTTTTTCTCTGACCCTATGCCTTACCAAACATGATATCCTTCTCCAGTGACTGGTCCCACCTGACAATATGTCCAAAGTATGAGAGACGACATTTGGCCATCCTGGCTTCCAAGGAGCACTCTGGCTGCACTTCTTCCAACACGGATCTATTGGTTCTTCTGGCAGCCCATGGCACGTTCAGTATTCTCCTCTAACACCATAACTCAAAAGCATCAATTCTTCTATGGTTTTCCTTATTCACTGTCCAGCTTTCACATTCATATGAGGTTATTGAAAATACCATGGCTTGGGTCAGAC